CAGACCAATCTGGGATCCACAGACTCCAGGGGGACAGTGTAGGAGTCGTCTCGGGGAGACATCCAGGGTGTCCCGATCTCCTGCCTGCTGGAGCCTGTGAGGATGACCATGATGACGAAGAGCTGCAGGTGACCCTGATTCAGGCTGCTCCCTGGAGACGAGCTCCTGGCGGAGAGCCAGTGGATTCCTCCTATCGGGGCTCCAGGGGGGTGACCCTTAGGGCTGTGTCCTGACCTCCTGCTGTCTCTCGCCCCCAAGAACCTGGTCAGTGTGCTGTTGATACTACACTCTTGTACCCGAGTCCAACACCAGCCTCCAGCACGAGCACAGGGTCAGATTAGTCCTGTCACTCCTGTCACACTCAGGGCATGAACACACAACCCTACTAGTGAGAGAGGAGAACTGTTATAAAGTTACTAGCATTGATATTAGAGGCTGGTGAAGTATTATTGTGTTGAATTAATAGTAATACTATTAGTAGACTTATTAGCTGCACTATGATTGGAAGCAGTATTATTGTTGATTTCAATAGCAGTACTAGTAAGAGAAGCAGTTTTGCTGTAATTTGCAGTAGTACCTGAAATAATATTATTTTCAGCAGAGACACTAGTAATAGAAGCAGTATTCTTGTCACCAGTGTGTAATATGTATGACACCACCATTAGGAGTGGAACAGAATGTAGACATGTCTCTGCTTTGTTGGCTGTGAATGAATCCACACAGCTCCTCTGTGCTGAGTGATGTTGTGTAGTTATTGTACAGCTGTAATAGTTAAGGTCAGGTTTTCTCTCGCTATCTTGAGTGAGAGGTGAACGCTGGGCTGAACACACATGACGAGGCACAGAGAGACTGCAGAGCCAGACTGCTGCCCTCAGACACACGGACCAGCTGTCGCAGCTGTGCAGCCTACAGCAGTGTGTCCTGGGATGGAGGTGGGATGCTCTCTCCTGTCCCTCTTTCCCCTTTTCCAATAAGTCCAGCAGCTGACACTGGGAAGAAATGTATGTATGAAGATTGAACCCTCTCCTGTTTCCTTTTCCTTAATTTTCCAGGATGTCCAGGGGCAGACAGTGGAGAGACAAGTATGGCTGGGATAGAGGTTGGATGTTCTCTCCTATAATCTTTTCCCTGATTTTTCTAGGATGTCCATAAAATTGACAGTGGGAAGACGGGTATGGAGGAGGAGTTGGGATGAAGGTTGGATGCTCACTCCTGTCTCTCTTTTCTCTTATTTTCCAGGATGTCCAATGAGAAGACAGGTGTGTATGAAGATTGAACCCTCTCCTGTATTCTTGTTCCCTAATTTTCCAGGATGTTCTGAGGCAGAACGGGAAGACGGATATGGCTGGGAGTTGGGATAGTGGTTGGATACTCTCTCCTGTGTTTCTTTTCCCTAATTTTCCAGGATGTCCAGAGGCAGACAATGGAGAGACGGGTATGGTTGGGATAGAAGTTGGATGCTTTCTCTGTCATCTTTTTCCCTAATTTTCCAGGATGTACTCAAAATTGGAGGAGGAGGAGTTGGAATGGAGGTGGGATGCTCTCTCCTGTCTCTTTTCTCTTATTTTCCAGGATGTCCAGAGGCTGACATTGGGGAGATGGGGATGGATAGGAAGATTAGAATGGGGATTGATGGTCTCTCCTCTCACTCTCTTTTCCCTAGTTTTCCAGAGGCTGCCAGTGGGAAGACGGGTATGGCTGGGAGTTGGGATGGAGGTGAGGAGCTC